AGAGGACCGACAATCGCATCTATACGGGCTTGATCTTCATCCATTATCACTGTCTCCATGACTGCAAAAGAGAACAAGAAGAAGGTTGAAGGAGGTGAGTTGGACTAATGTCACAGAAAAAGAAATTAAAATGAAGACAAGAAGAGAGGATTTCCGCAAGGGAAAAATAGAAAGATGTAGGGGAACGGCAAAGGGGAAGATGTGGAGAAGCTAGGGTTTTTGTTAGGAAAAACTTAAACCAGCGGTTAGGATCTAATTCCAAAATGTGATGGCTGAGATTGAACTAGATTATTAACCACTATTAATAAAATAAAATAAGAAACTGTGTTATATATTTTTACCCATTACCGGGGACAAGGATTATGAAAATGAAAAGAAACCACGGCCAAATCCTTTTTTGTTCCTGCCTTCCCACATTTTCTTTTAAATTATTGTCTCTACAACATATTTTCAGCGTACACAAGTATACATTTCCATTGCTTCCCCTTTTAACTATTATTTATAGTTAATATGTTATTATAATATAATTGAGAAGCTCTTTTATTGCAAACATAATTCTGTTTATTTTTTATCAAAATTTATCCTACAATTTACATTCCTTATATTTGTTGACTTTCACTGAGTTTGAGCTTTTCAAAACTACAACTTATCATTTTTCAAATAAAGGACAATGAAGCAGCTTGTATTTTAACGAGGTAAGTAGGATAATCTCAAACAAACAAGTATTGAACTAAATATGACTGTCAACATAATTTCAGTCATCATAAATAAATAATGATAACGCCAATTTTTCCTACAAAAGATAGATTTGGTGACAAATTTATTGTCTTTATCGATGTGGTATAAATTCGGTCACAAATACACAACTACTTGATGAAACATTATCGACAACATTCTGACCAAAAAACAAGCATTACCGACAACAGTATTTTATTCGTCATAAAAAGTGATGGCGCCAAAATTTCCCTCCAGATAATGAGTTTAATGACGAGAATTTTCGTATTTACCGACGAGGTTAGCCTTTGTCACAAATACACAACCAGTTGACGAAATATTACTGACGACAATATAATTTTGTTAGTAAAAGTCATCATCAGCGACGAGTTTCATTTGTCGTCGCTAATTTTCGTCACTAATGACAGTCTTTTTTGTAGTGACTTGAATAAGTCTTCCCGCATTTGATATATGATGACTTGAATAAGCCGTCCTTCTTATACCTCCTGAATTGGACCAAACTTTTGATGTAAGCCTCCTCCCTTTTGGCATTGGTGAATTAATGTGAGTCGAAGCTGAACCAGTATGATCACTAGCAACCACCTTACTCGTACTTGCATCCATTTCGACTTCCATCTCTTTCCCACTTGAGGAATCCATTCCAACATCATCACACTCGACCTAAAACAACAACAGAGCAAATGAGAACAGGAAGTTGGCAAATAATCCAACTACTGATAAATCTCTGTGCGTATTATCTGGTATATGTGTGTATGATCTGATCTCTCTCTCTATATATATATATATATGTTTGTCTGTGCAGAAGCAGAGTAAAGGAAAAAAGAGAGATATAAGCAGCCAATTTATATTTCAGCCTTATATTTCCTATGATCCAAGCACATTTTCAGTATTCAGATTCCATTGAAGGCCTGCTTGCTATTGACTTTATTCCATCACACGACATGAATCATGAATGCTAAGAGATAGAAAACAGTGACCAATTTATGCATGTTTAAATGTACTTGGGTTGCTAACTACTTGTTGTTTGTCATGCATACCTCCAAGAAATTTGCATTTTAAGGATATCCACTGATCACTCCAACTTTACAAACCAACAATGATTAACAGCCCCAATTTCCAAGTATACGGACTTATTATAGCCTGGTTGCTTCGCTTATTAATAAATAAACACTATTTACAACCCAGTTATACATGAAAATGAGAATGCCCTCACAGAAACCAACTATGAAACCCCAATACAAAATCACACACCCAAATAAATTGACGAGTCAAATATCACTACAACAAAAATGCCTTTTTATAACCAATGCTGTGCAACCAAATAATTTTTGGTTGGCAAAAATCCAGTATTTGTGACTAATAAGTTTTTGGTAATAAAAAGTTTGATTAATTGGTCATTAAACAAGAAATATTATCTTACAACCAAATTAAAATTTGTATGACCAAAAAAATTGGTAACAAAATTCTAAAACATTTTTATAACCAAAATGATTCTACATCATTTATGGTATTTATTAACATAACTAATATTTTTGGTTACATAAACATACTAAAATAGTCACTTACTAAAAAGGAATTTTTACGATCAAATTGAACTCTCCACAACCAAAAATATTTGGTAACAAATTTAATGAAATAAGTTTTTGTCACCAAATTTATTGGCTATAAGCCCATAACATCCAATTGCTTTTTATAGTCGCTAATATATTTGGTTATGGTTACTTACTAAAGGATGATTTTCCAACAAAATAAATTGGTAACAAATAATAAAATGAATACTTTTTATATCTGATCTGTAGCGGCCGAGAGAGGAAATTAAAGTTGGGGGTTTCAATTAAAGAATACTAGTTTTCTTACCCGCGCTCCGCTGCGGGATTTGTGACACGTTGGAAGAAAAAGAGAAGTTACATTTTGTACATCATGTGTTCTTAATTTGGATACAATTACATTGCTAATTAAATCCAAGGAAACTTATTAAATATTATGGACAATAATTTGTGGCCACATATCAGTATCTAGAAGAAATATAGGATGCCGCGAAAATAAACAACACATCCCATGCAAAAAATGTCCACAGCCAAAATACTAAGTAATTCAACAAAAATATATTTAAGCTTTCATTACCAAGAAGTCCCAAACCAAGGCAAAACAATGAGAATTTAGGGTAGTTAATAGAACTACAGAAATTACAGAAGTGCCCACAAAAGCAAATTAATATACAACCGTATGACTAATCAGGGGTAATTAACATAAAAGGTCACAAACCTTTACATTTAGTACAAAACGGTAACAAACCTTTAATTTGTAAAAAATCGGTAACAAAAGTTTGAGCAAATATCAAAATGGTAATTCCGTCACTTTCCATCCGAATTTCCGTCTCCTTTGCTTAGTCAGCATTCCACATCATCAAAACTATTAATAAACAAATCCAAGATATTAATAAAAAGATTTACCCAACTCACCGGTCCACCCCCACCCAAACCGTAAGATCCACCCCCTCTTGATTTTGGAAATAAATCCCTCTCATACCCGATTCCCATCACCCATACCCAATCCCCTTCGCTCTCAAAAGAGAAGGAATTGGCTGGAGGGTCAAGATTTGGGTGGTTGCTGTCCCAAATTCATTGTTCAATCCCATGGAAGTCGTAGAGATTTTCTTGTTCCTTTGCCTCACGCTAGTTCTTCTGCGATCCACACAAGCAGGGCAGCAGAGGAGTGATAGATCGGAGCTCCTCCCGCATCGATGTCATCTCGGGCCTCGGCACCCGTCCCCTGGGACCATCTTTCTTGACGGTGATGACTGGTCGCGCAGAGGGCGGTGAGGCTCGGACGGAGATGGGTCGTTTTTGGGTTTGCAAGGGTCGCCGGTCGTTATTTTATTTTATTTTGCAGGGCGGGGGGTTGTGTCTTTGGGAAGGGGGCGTAGACAGGGGAAGGGCCGGGAGAGAGTTTGGCGGGTGGGAGGAACGGCGACGACGAACTTGGAGGGAAGACGAGGCTCGGGCAGAGCTGGGTCGTTTCTAGGTTTGCAATTGCAATTGCCGGCGGGCGACGGCAAGGTAAATGGCGGCGAACCAATTAAAGGAAGGAGAAAGGGGGATTTGGTTCTGAAATCATGAGGCGAGGTGGGTTTTAGAGATGCAAATCTATAAATTAAAAAACAGATGGGGAGCTTGGTTCTGGGAGAAGGTAACCATTGTCCATGGTGATGGGGAGGTGGGGATTTGTTTTCGAAGAAATTGTGGGTGGGTCTTAAAGTTTGGGTGGGTTGAGTTCAGCTCAGGCGGTTGGTTAGATGATTTTTTTCATTAATATAATTGCTGATTTGGATTGTTGACCGGTCAAACTTAACAGAAATTTGGATGGAAATGGACGGAATGATCTATTTGTTATTCATTCAAACTAATTTGACTAAAACGTGCAAAATTAAAGGTTTGTGACCGTATTGTACAAAGTGCAAAGGTTTGTGACTATTTATGATAATTACCCGACTAATCAGCTACAAATATTACAGAAGTTCCACAAAATAAATTGGTCACATGACTTGCACGGACAATGTGTTATCTTGAATTTGTCTTCTGATGGCTAAATAAATAAATAAATAATAGGAAAATACATATGGTAGAATCATGGACTTAAATCATACTATCAATTATCGATGAGCACATAGGTATCGAGCACAATTAAATTTGGCAAAAGAATACCAGGTTGAAACTTATGTGAACCAACTGCAACTGTAAGGTTTGAACTTCGAAGACAACACAAAAAGATGGACAACAACAGGGGAAAGGAGATGAGGACATAGGTATTGAGCATAATATCAGGCATACGGATAAAACCATGACCATGGCATAGAATAGAACACCTAACGTGGTAAAGTTTAGACATTGTTTCCAAAACCCAACCATATCTTCATGTGTCTACAATACCTGCTGGAAAAGAGCAAAGGACACAGTCAAATCGGGGACTACCAATAAATCTAATGCTGAGATTCAAGAAAGCAGGACAAACAGATCAAAGTTGAGATTCACATATACCCCTTCTCTCGTATGGAGCCTAATCACCTTGTTCAGGTAAGATTTGTGCGAACAGATGATGAATTGGATCCTTTAACCAACCAAACCACTGAAAACAGAAAGCGACTCACATGTGAGAGAGATTGACAAAATAAGGAAGCAGAGGAAACATAATGACTGAAAGGTTGAGTTCATAGGTAATGAATCGGCTCCTTTAATTAATTTGCACACCCCCAACGACGCTGGGAAATATTCAGCTGCTCCCTCGAAAGAACAAAAATGAATCCATAAGATGAATGAAAGTGAGATAAAACCCCCAAGTAATATAACTGAGAAAACAAACTCGATAGAAAAAATGGCCACCTCAAATGTGCTAAGATCTGCGCATCCACCTCCTCTGTGAGCACTCTCTGTACCTTTCAGATCCATAGAGCAACTTAGATTTCCACTCTTCTCTGAGTAGCTAATAGAAGAAAACAGGACAAATCTTTGAGCCTTCGAGATATCAGATATAGTGAAAGATTGAACAATCATCTGAAACCAGAATGCAACCTATAGATTAGGGTCTTCAACTAAATCTTCTCTTTACAACTTTGGGAGGTTTGAGACCTTGACGTCGTGGATTCCCAAATCTAGTAAAGGAGAAAATAAATAGAGATGCTCTCAACATAGCCGGGGAAAAAATCAGAATGAGTCAACAAAGGGATTCCTCAAACATGATCAGTATTAAAAGCTTCAGATGAACTCCCTCACCACGTGAATATACCAAAGTGCAGAAAATTCGGTTATGCCAGTGAAAAGCTCTCCAACTTTTCTCTGCTACAGCGAGTGCGAGCTCATTGACGGTATCTCCCCTGAAAAGTGATCGAACAAACCCTTTTGAGCACGAAAGATAGCACGAACACCATCTAAGGAAAGAGAGGGAAAATTCACCAAAGACAGAGGAAAAAGACCTGGCGGATCTGGGTCCTTCGAATCCTCTCTCAATCTCCCATATTCCCCGGTGGATCGCTCAAACTCTACTGGTTTCTGAAATAGAGTTGTGAGAACAAAAGAAGAGAGAAGTGCGAGAAGAAAACAGTGAGAGAGAGAGAGAGTAAGAGCCAGATGGTTCGTCTCTGAATTCACCATTACTATTTCAATTCCCAGCAAAAGTATAAAAAAAATCAATGAGAGAAAGAAAATAAACCTTGAGGGTTGTGCCGCCACCGCCGGGTAGGTTAAATGAGTGGTCGAGATAAAAGAGTGACGTGGTGCCCAAATCTACCATGCAACCCACGAAAATATCTTCATGATTTATCCGGGCGCCATCCAGCCCCCTTGTGATCAACGCGCATTTTCATCTTGGGCCGATCAGGCCACACTGTGTATTGACGTCAACGTTAGACCCAATTCCACGTACCGATTAGCGAGTGTAGATCCCTGACAAACAAAAGCAAGGAAAAAAAAATTGGATAACAAATGGGGACACAAAGGGCCCGCTCCATCTCAGCAAGCCAATCACAGTCCGGTGAATAGTAATTTCGAGTCTACACAATAAATAAAAGCCAAATGAGAAAACTTGAAGCCCCATTTCAAATTTCCTGCATCTAGAGTGAAAGTAGGAAGGGCATTTTGGTCTTCACAATTACTTTTATTTATTCATTAAAAACACACTTACTAGGATTCGAACCATGGCCACTTTCAAAGAAAAGCAAACATCATAACCAATCACACTAAGTACGTTTGTTGTATCTTTTTAAATTGAAAATATATAATCGTAGTGAGGAAAAAACCCTTCCCCTATTTCAAATTCCCTGCTCCAGGAGCGTTTGCAAGAATGGTAGAATAGGGAGTGTCAATTTTTTCCTTTTTTCTCTGTGGAACGGGCCAACTTACCGTACACAAGCGGATTTAAACGGGTCCGGGAGTGTCAATTTTGTTCTTTAAGTCCTTTTATTTCTCCGTGGTGGTAAAATATATATGAAAAGGCAAAAACAATACTCCTTTTTATTGCTAAAAAGAAAAAAATTTAACAATAAACTAATGCATGGATTCTAATGGGCTAACCGCTAATCATAAATAAAAGAGTTGAATAGGTCTGACCTACACGGGATTTGCCAATCAAGTAATACAAATAAACATCATGGGTTTGCCATTCTAAAACAAGCTATTTTCTCTAGCATAATATATATTATGCTATTATTTTATATCTTAATGGCTAAAATATAATGTATTTTAAAGTTATTCAATGAACCTCGACCAACCCAATTAGTTCAATTTGTATTATTTCAAATATATATTATGTAATTATTTGATATCATAATGATTAAATTATAGTGTATATTATAGGGAATCGTTTGATATTTGTTAGTAAAAAACTAAACAGAAAGATCTATTTGGTTATTTTTAACATTAATTTCATTAAAACGATTCTAAACATTTTCAGTTTCCTTTAGAAATTCTATAGCTTTATTCCCGAATCAGTGATGTGCAAATGGCGAATTGCAGTCATCTCTTTTCTTTCATTATTTTTTATTTTCAAAAAGAAAGTATAAAAGTAAAGAATAATTAGAGGTTGGCATGGGTCGGTCAAACATGCTGAATTTAAAGTTTTGGCCTGTTTTGATCAAGTCTAATTTATAATCACATGGTTCCCTGATACCCGATAAAAATCTCAATACAAACCAGTTTGGCAGGTGAGTCCGTGTTTACCACCATTTTCTAGGGATACAGGAACGGTGGTTCCTATCCTAAATCGTGTTGTTCATTCTTGATTTCTTTAGATTTTATCATGGCTTGGCAAAAAACCAGAAAGCACAATGATGACAAGATGAAAGTTTTATAAAACAAATTAATCGGCCAACGGGCCGAGTAAAAGCTAGCAACGATTGTGAGATGCTCATTTCCCGAAAACCGACGGGATAAGCGATATTTTATTCGATTTTCTGGAATTCGGTTTCTATAAAACTTACTCCACCTCATCATATTACCAGAAACAATATTGTTTCACAAGGTAACAGGTACTTGATTTTGGTTCATAAGGCTGATTTTTGATTCGTTGCATCATTCATGTCTCTTTCCTACTAAAATTCACTATTTTTATCACGTGTTTCCCAAAAAAAAAAGTATACAACAATAAGCTATACACTCCATTACATTATCAAATTTCATACCTCATCTTCCTCCGGCCAAATGGCCGGGGCCACGCTAGTCACAATGAATAGGAAAAGCAGTCTGGATGTACAGTAATTGTTGTTTTGAGCTATTATTATACTTTTAATATGAGGGATAGAGACGCATATAACCCTTTCCCGTTCAAATCTCCGACTGGTTGTTCTTCCTCTCTCGATCGATCCTTCGATCTCAATCAATCATCATCCAAAGTGTTGGCCAGAGAAATAGGAAGGATGATGTTGGCAATCCATGCCGTGGTCGATGAATACGACAACAAATTCGCCGACAAATAGGCAATCAAGATCCGCGACTTGGCCTTCGACATAGACGACTTGCTCGACGAATTCGCCACCGCAGATGACGTCGCCCGATGCTGTCGGAATGGAAGAACAAGAAAAAGAGAAGCAAGGTAATCAGGAACTGCCTTCCGCTGGCTCGTCCGCCTTCATCGAATGAAGCTCGGAGATGCTCCTTCTGCTTCGATTCTCTTCGATTTGTTTCCAAATCCGTTCTCGGCGGACTCGACGGTGCAAGATTATTTCAAATAGGCCCTTCTCAGGTGCTAGAGGTACTTGGAATCTTATCCATCAGTATATGCATATATGGTGTTTGTTAAAAGTTCTAATTGAACAGTTATATTTTTCAATCTCCCGTAGGCGAGAAAGTGAGTTGAGGAACCACCAACGACGAGAACGACGATGACAGGGGAAGCCACACTCTGTCAACAAGCGGTCGGAGGTGGTCGAATTCCAGCCACCACCGAGTAACATCAAGGAGATGGAATACCCAGGTCTGCACCCGTGATTGTTTGCCAGCCCTTGTGCATCTTCTTCTTCTTCTTCTTAATTTTTTTCTGCCGTTTATGTTCCTACATGATTTCCAATTACAACTGATTGGTCAACTTCCTTTACTCCTTTCTACCATCGAGTTTCCTGAAAGCAGCTAACAGTCATTTGGTTGCCTTCTCAGTTCATACTCTCTTGACAGAGTCGATTAGTTTCATTTGGTTTTCTGCATCTGGATTCTAGGGCTACATGAATGAGTACTTGCTGTGCTATACATGGATCTTTATACTTGATGAGCGACTTGTCTTTTTGGAGGTTGATTCTATAGTGTCTCTGTCTCTTTCGATTCTTTACTCCCGTCCTTTGTGCTTCTTTCATTCCTCTGATCAACATTCTTCTCCTTTTTCTCAAGTATTGTTCTTTGGTTCCTGTTGAGGTTTAGTCTTCCATTTCAGATATTTCATTCTGGAGAGAAAGCTAGAAGGTGCTCTGGGAAATCAGTCAGGAACGCAAAGCCCTGCTCCCATTTCAAGGAAAATGCAACCTCTAGTCTACCAGGTGTGGTGTTGGACTTAGTTTACAGATCAATTAGTGGGTTACCATCCCTCCTTGTATGACATTCTTTTGTTATTTTATTGTAGGACAAGGGTATTCTTCTCACAACGTGTGTCATTGTTTGCAATAACTGAAAGGCATTACGAGGGAATGGTTTATCGGTTGATGATGAAAGTGGTGATGATTTATACTTGTGGGAATATATGATCCTCAACGAGGTTAGTTAGTACTATATTTAGAACTCGTTTAATTGAGACTTTGTTGACATTCCTTTTATTTTGCATTCTCTTTAATAATATGAAGGTATTCTGTTTAAGCTATACTAATTTGCTGTCATCTGAATACATCCAAGTGTGTGACATTTCTTTGCTTGTCAAAGGAACGGTGGGCTCTCTTCCACTTCTGCCAACCCAATCTACTTGGCAATGGTACTTATAACTTCACAGTTCTATTGGTTTCTTACTAATGTTGTGATGGCCTTTGTTTGATATGTTTATATTAATTCAGGTTTAGGGACAAATGTGAGGATGCCATACTTTGTGGCTTCAAGAATGCATCTGACCGAGAGAAGCATATTGGTTCGAAAGTTGGTAAGGTTAGTAAATGATGTACTTCTTGTTGTTTTCTCTTTTGAAATCCTTTGATATAAATAGTAAGATCCCAGTCCAGGCAGACCGAATGAGAGCCTTTAGTAAAGCCAATAGCAAGAATGTAAAGTTTAATGGATGCACGGGAAGGCAAAACTCTTCATTCTTTTCTCAACTTATTTATAAGGTTCCCCCATTTGGGGGCATTAATGAGACATCGAAGGAAAATTCACAGCGAAGGACCTTTTTATCCTTTCTTCAGCGACTTGTTTGAGGAGGTTAGCACATGAAGACAAGTCAGAAGCGGAAACAGCCACCACCCTAGAGGTACTTCTTTCATTTCCCGATGCTTGTTTATCCGTACATAAACATACATGTGGCACTAGGGAAAGGTCATTGAGCAGGGCATTAATGGATTGAGGTGGTACACTGTTTGATTTAAGTGAAAATGCGGCATTGGATCCAGATTAACCATAATTTGTTGTGGTTTGTGCATGTTGTCATGTTAATTTGAGTGTGAATGTGCCTTAGGTTGCCTGATGTGTGGTGATTTGGAACTATTATTTTAGCCCATCTCCTCTCTTCTGTTGCAGCAGAAGTTAATGACAGTGCCGTGAATGGATTTTGAGTATCAGTGATGTATCGACTGATGTAGTGGTGGAGACTGATTCATGGAGAAAGATCAGATTGTCTGTATGTCACTCTGTCTTGTGCGTTAGTTGCTAACTAATTTGTTTCCATTTCTTCTCTTGTGACAGAAGGATGCACCATTTCATTTCACTCCAGAGTGCACAGCTGCATTCGAGACCTTTAAGGAGAAAGCTTACCCATTCACCCATTTCAGGGTCTAAAGAGGTGATACTGATGGACAAGAGAATCTGCCTGACAGATTTTTTTGTTTCGTACTAGATGGTAAGTAAGGATTAGCTATTCTAATTCTATTCATGCCTAATATTCTAAGTTCAGAGTTTACTATGGAAATTGAATGTTTGTTATTATCTTACAGTTGCATGGTGAGAGGTAAGTTAAGCTAGCCTGTAACGCTATAACCATCTTAGGGAACCCTCAATCTTTAGTCAGATCCATGTAACCTTCTTCGCAGAGTTTAGTTTTGCATTTCATTTTACTGCACAACGGGTTTATCCTTACCCAGGCTACTGCTTACGTTTTTATTTCAGTGGTATCAAGGTCTCAAGGTATCTCAATTCTCACTTAGTTGTGTTCCTTATTTAGTATTCCACATTTCCATGCGTTCCCACTTAGCTTTGTACATCACGCATCATGTTCATTCCTTCACAGATAACTGCAAGAACATGGCGGAAGCGGAGGGATTAAGATCGGTGGAAAAGGGACAGAGGGAGAAGCAGATCCACTTACCTGCTGGGATTGGGATTAATTGGTTGAACTGGTCTTTGTATCGACATAATTTGTTTTTAAAATATTTGAATTGTTTGTTTTATTTTTATTATTAGATTTATGGCTAAAACATTTTAAATTTATTCCTTTGTCGTATGATTTTGGTAGGAAATTATGTATTGTGACCGTTGGAAACTTTGGCAATAAATAAATTGGTTATATTATATCTCTTTAGTAACCAAATTAATAGTATATCTGGAACATTTAAATCATATAATTGGTTACTTAAAAATAAAAAATGGTTAGAACATGGTTACCATAAAATATTGGTTGTGATAAGAGAAATATAACCAATTTATGTAGTTATTCAAAGATGATTAATTGGTTGCGATAGCAAATTTCTAGCCAATATTTTTGGTCACTTAAAAATGACTAATATGTTCTAAGGAATATATCGGTTACCAAATTTATTGGTTATAAATGATTGGTTTTGTAACGTTATTTAAAAGTCGCAAAAAGCTAGACGAAATCGTTGGCTTTTATATTTTGTAACCAATTACCTACTTATTTGTGACGATTTAAGCAGACTTTATGTGACTAATTTTATTGGTCACTGTTTGTGCCAAGTTCCTCCGGTCCCACCTTCCTCGATCTCAGCCCCTTCGAACTCAGTACGGGCGCCTGGATCCTGCAAGGACAAGCGCCTAAAGGGCTTGGTAATGCCCGTTAGCACTCCGACGCCCAAGTCAGAACTAAGTTTAGAGAGAGAAGTGTAAAGTCGGGTTTTAGTGTGAGAGGCCAACCTGCATAAATGCTATCGACTGCCCCTATTTATACTCACCGAACCCGAGGTTGATCTCCGCCACGTCACCACCCTCATTTAATGCTCTGCGCCCCCAGACAGCTAACTGCCCTGTCAGACTCCTGACACCTGACTGGCATTCCACAGCTCTGCCAGGCTCCTGACACACGACAGGCGCCCGCAGGCCGTGGTCCACCAGCCAGTTGGTCGCCACCTGGCTTTTGGTGCTCTGTGAGACAGCTAACCGCCCTGTCAGACTCCTGACACCTGACACACGACAGGCGCCCGCAGGCCGTGGTCCACCAGCCGGTTGGCCGCCACCTGGCTTTTGGTGCTTTACTCTTGAGGTCCCTTCTCTTTTCTTGGGCCCAAGGGCCACTAGTGAATATTGGTTCTTACCTTTTGGGCCTTGCCCCCTAACTCCTTCTTTGGGGAGCCCAATCTCTTAGCTTGCTGGGTAATACCCCCAACAATTGCCCCCCCAGTTAGGTGCTCGTGGCTTCGCCATCGAGCGCCTGACTGAACCTCTAGTTGTAACCCAGCCTTCTCTTAGTCACAGGGCGCTTGTCACTCGGCGCATGCATCGTGTTCTCACTTCTTTCTTGGTCCTACGAGGTGCGTTTGCCTCTCCTCTTCCGCGGGCAGGCGTCCCGCCTTTGGTTGTGTCCCTTGTCGAATGCTCTTCCATGTGCTTCTGTGCCTCTTGCCTGCCGAGGCGCCTCTTGCCAAATGGGGCGCCTTTTCTAACTAACCCTCCCTTTCGGGCGCTTCATGGTGTCGTTCTTGACGTGTGTCCTTATCCCTTATGCCCCCCTCACCCACGCTTTGCTTGTCGGGGAAATTTGGAGAAAAGAAAATTCGAAATTCGAAATTCGAAATTTGGGAGTTGAGAAATTTCCCCGAAAAGGAAAGGGTGGGGGAAGCTCAAAGGTCCGCCTGTGGTTTTGTGGCTCGCGAAAAGACCAAAAGGTGGGGGAGCGGAAGGGTTCCTTCGGCATGACTGACACGTGTCATGCGGCGGGTGAGCCCTCGTTTTTCTTTAAATACCCCTCCTCCCTTGTGATGCTGTCACTTTCTTCTATTTGACCTCTCTCTAGACTTTTGCTCTGACCTCTCTCTAGCTTCCGCTCTGACCTCTGTCCTCTTTCTTCTTTGTTCTTCGCTTCCAACACATCACTCTCGTCCAAGATGTCGTCTCCACAACAAGACAAGACCTCTGCACCCGGCGCCTCGGGCGCGGGCGCCTCCGGCGATGGTGGTGAAGCAAGGCGCCCAGTTCAACGTGGTAAGTGGTCCTTTTCCCTTCGTCGATTTCGTTGAGTTTATTCTAGTCACCTAGGGTAGGGGCGTCACTTACCCCTTGTCCGCGTTGCGTCTGGGTCATTTGTTGGTTTAGAGCGGGCGTCTGCTTCCTCATCAGCTGGGCCGTCAAGTTCTTCGGCGCTTGGCTTCTTACCCGCCGATGGGTCCTACAAGATCACATCGTGGGAGAAGTGTTTCCCACCTGATCATCTCCCCACCGAGACGTCGCACTTATCGTTCGAGGTGGCTGGGCCAAAGCACACGTCGACAGTCACCTTGGACCGGGTTCATGAATTGGTGACCAGTCTCCAGCTTCCCAGAGACTGGTGGTATGCGCCTCCATCGCCTCAGTCCCGGGTAGGCGTCTGTGGCCCGAAGTGGATCGGGATTTATCAGGAATACTTTCGTTTCGGGCTACAGTTTCCCCTAGACTCGATTATGGAGGGAATCCTGACGACGTGCGCCTGCCCCCTCGGGCGCCTATCCCCCTCGGTCATCACGGTTGTCATCCTGTTCAAGTTGAGGTGCCGAGAGCACAACGTGGAGCCCACCTTCAACTTGTTCAGATATTTCTTCAAGATGGTGCCTCTCGACAACTGCTTATCCCTCCAGAAGCGCAAGAAGAAAAGCTGCCCCTATCACTTTGTGAAGAAATGTCCTAAGTTGAACCGAAGCTGGTTCAACGGGTTTTTCTTCGTGAAGGCCTATCAAGACTCCTTCTTTGCGAGTGGGGGCGCCTTTGTGAGGAAGTGGGAGTTAGGTCATGTCGATGACTTCAACAAGCCGGTGGTTTTGACGGCGTCTGAGAAGGCTGGCGCCCCCTTGATTTGCGAGGGGGAGCCTGTTGACTTACGCCCCGCAGATAACCGTCCGCCTATTATTGAAGCTTATTATAACGATGGTGTGTAGGCGTCTAGGTGTTCTGCTTCCTTACCCCCTTGTTTGTGTTATGTACTAACTTACTTTCGTCATATGCAGGGGCGGACTACTCGAGTATCGCCAAGCTTATGAAGAGTAGGCTGGCGACTATGGCGGCGGAGGCGGCCGCGGCTTCCCAACAAGAGGCGCCTGCTCACCAAGAGGCGCCCCTTCAACAAGAGGCACCTGCCACCCAATCACAGGTGCCAACAGCTGGCCCCAAGAAGAGGAAAGGGAAGAAGAGGGCGGTGAAGGGTGGCACCGCTCGGGCGCACACGGCAAGCGTGGCGTCGTCCGCTCCGGAAGAAGGCGAGGGGGCGCCTAATGTCGACCCCGCGGAGAAGGAGGTTAACTCCGCTGAAGAGGAAGAAGAAGAGGAGCCTTTGCTCCGAAAGGGGAAGAGGGCGGGCTCCCCCTTAACCTCGGCCAGCAAGAGGGCCGACAGAGGAAAGAAGAAGGTGGGCGAGGAGGACGCCTGCGAGGAGGACGCTTGCGACGAGGTGGAAGTGGAGGCGGAGATGGCGGGGGACGCCTGCCTTCACATAAATGAAGAGGGGCGCTATGTTGGCCCCGATGGGCGCCCCCCCATCTTCCGGCCACGGCGTGCCGAGGTGGGACGGGTCAATATGAACTGCTCCCCCTTGGTCGCCGTTGACCGAGGGTGTGCCATGGGCTTGGCGATCGCGGCCGCCAAGTCCTAGCAGGTGCCGTCCGAGGTGAACGGGGATCACCTTTTTGCTGAATTGGCCCAAGTGGGCGCTAAGGTATGCCCCTTCGTACTCGTATTTGTCAGATCCTTCTTACTTGTTATTTTGCACGACTTGCTGACCCTTTTCCAATGGTTGCAGATCCTTCTTTTTGCTGAAAGAGGCGCCCGACGCCTCAGCGAGACTAAAAGGGAGGCGCTCGAGGCTTCCTCTTCAGCTTCTCAGCTGAAGTTGGACTTGGAGAACGCAACTGCACGCCGTGAGCAGTTTGCAAAGGAGTGCGAGGACGCCCAGATGACGGCCACCATGGAGGTGTCGCGTCTGCAGGGCGCCCTGGACGAGGAGCGCAGAAAGCTGGCCGATCTGCAAGCTGAGAAGGAGGCGTTGGCGCAGGAAGCCGGCGCCCAGGCCAGTGAAATTGACATCCTCAAGGAGGAGAAGAAGAGGCTGCAGAACGCCCACAAGGAGAGCGAGAAATCCTTGAAGAGGGCCCGGAAAGAAATTTCCGAATTGCGGCAATCTTTGGACAACCTGATGGAGTCAGAGACTGGGAAGTCCATGTGCGCCAATGCCATTCTGACCGGCATTGAAATCCTGCGGGGGAAGTTGCAGAGGGACCACCCCGACCTTACTTGGGATCTCTCGGAGATGGCAGAATATGTGATCGGTGGGATGGAGACGCCTCGCGGGACAAGTGGGGCGCCCGAGCCATCTGCTCCTACCTCTCCTTCTCCAAGGGCGCCTAGTGCTGGGGATGCGAATTCAGGCGCTGACTAGATTAGCGGTCCTCGAGTTTTAACTTTCTTATTTTGTAATGACTTTCCTTGTGTTTTCATTATAATATAAGAATTTATGTTTCCTTGCCAATCGCCTTTGCTTCCACTTTAACTTTCCTTTTATTGCCAACTTGTGTTTTTGGGCGCGAAATGGGGCGCGTTTCTTGTGAGGGCGCAATGTTAGGGCGCTTTTGCAAAAGGTGGGCGCGGAACATGGCGCTTTACTATACTTAGTTTTGCCGGGCGCTTTTGTGTCACATGGAATTCTTTATCTGAACACAGCAAAGTTAGGGCGCTATAGAAAGGGCGCTTTGTTGTGTTTCCTTAACAGACAGTTTTGTAGATAATAATTAATCCGCTTCTGAAAAATGAGGGCGCAAAGTTTGGGCGCTTTACATGGACCGGGCGCTAATGGGGCGCTTTACAAAATTACGGGCGCATATAGGGCGCTTTTGGAAACTTTACTATAATCACCTAACCAACACACGTCTTCCCCAAGAACACCCTGCCCTTTACCTCTACTCGCAAGAAGGTGCCTGCACCTGGGCGCCTGTATCCCTGGTTGCCTCATACCTTCGTAGATTTTGAGCATTCCAAGTTCTCTTCACTCCCTTGCCTGACATGTGCTCCAGTTTGAAAGTACCCGGGCCAACGACTTCCGAATTCGATATGGTCCTTTCCATTTGGGTGCCAATTTTCCCTCCACGGTAC